TCATGATCTCACAGTCCGTGAGTTTGAGCCCCGCGTCAGGCTCTGTGCTGACAGCTCAGAACCTGGAGCCTGCTTCGGATTCTGTGTATCCCTCTTTCTCTGCCCTTCCCCTGTTCATGCTCTGTCTCTCTCTGTCTCAAAAATAAATAAAAACATTTAAAAATTTTTTTAAAAAAAAGAAGACTATAAAACATTGATGAAAGAAACTGAAGACAACACAATGAAATGGAAGGACATCCCATGCTCATGTATTAGAAGAACACATATTGTTAAAATATCTATACTACTCAAAGCAATCTACACATTTAATGCAATCCCTATCATATACCACCAGCATTTTTCACAGAGCTAGACAAGACAATCCTAAAATGTGTATGTAACCACAAAAGACCCCATATAGCCAAAGCCATCTTGAAAAAGAAAAACCAAAGTAGAGGCAGCACAATTCCAGACATCAAGTTATACTACAAAACTGTAGTAATCAAAACAGTATGGTACTGGCACAAAAACAGAGATCAATAGAACAGAGTTAGAAAACCCAGAAATAAACTCACAATTATATGGTTAATCCATCTAAGACAAAAAAGGCAAGGATATGCAATGGGAAAAAGTGTCTTCAACAAATGGTGTTGGGAAAACTGGACAGCAACATGCAAAAGAATGAAACTGGACCATTTTCTTAAACAACACACAAAAACAAACTCAAAATGGATTAAGGACCTAAATGTGAGACCTGAAACCATAAAAATCCTAGAAGAGAGCACAGGCAATAATATCTCTGACATTGGCTGTAGCAACATCTTTCTAGATATTTCTGCTGAGGCAAGGGAAACAAAAGCAAAAATAAACTGTTGGGACTACATGAAAATAAAAAGCTTCTGCACAGCAAAACAAACAAACAAACAAACAAACAAACAAACAAACCAAAAACCAAAAACCGAACAAAAAACAAAAATTCCCTGAAAGCTAAAAACAAACGAAAACTAAAAAAAACTAAACAAGCAACAAAAATAAAAGACAACCTACTGAATGGGAGAAGTAACATATCTGATAAAGGGTTAGTATCCAAAATATATAAAAAAAACTTATGCAACTCAACACCAAGAAAAACAAATAATACAATTAAAAAATGGGCAGAACACGTGAACAGACATTTCTCCAAAGAAGACATACATATGGCCAAAAGACACATGAAAAGATGCTCAACACTACTCACCATCAGGCAAATGCAAATCAAAACCACAATATTACCTCACACCTGTCAGAATGGCTAAAATCAAAACCACAAGAAATAACAAGTGTTAGCGAAGATGTGGAGAAAAAGGAACCCTCATGCACTGTTGGTGGGGATGCAAACTGGTGCAGCCACTGTAGAAAATAGTATGGAGGTTCCTCAAAAGAATAAAAATAGAACTACCCCGGCACGTCTAGCTGGCTCAGTCAGTAGAGCATGCGACTCTTGATCTCAAGGTCGAGAGTTTGGTCCCCACACTGGGTATAGAGTTTACTTACAAAAAAAAAAAAAAAAAAAAGAACTACCCTATAATCCAGTAATCACACTACTGGGTAATTTCCCACCAAAATATAAAAATACCAATTACCCCTGTGTTTACTGCAGTATTATTTACAATTGTAAAACTATGAAAGCAACTCAAGTGTCCATCAATAGATGACAGGCTAAAGAAGATGTGGCATAAAGAATGTTCCATTGGGTGTGTGTGTGTGTGTGTGTGTGTGTGTGTGTGTGTATTTATTATTATTATTATTATCATTGTTATTACTATTTAGCCATAAAAAGAATGAAATCTTGCCATTTGCAGAAACATGGATGGATCTAGAGAGCATAATGCTAAGTAAAATAAGCCAGTCAGAGAAAGAAAAATACCATATGTTTCACTCATATGTGGAATTTAAGATATGGAAGAAACAAAGGAAAGAAAAAGAGACATACCAAAAACCAGACTCTTAACTATAGAGAACAGTTACTAGAGGGGAGGTGGATGGGTGGGGGGATGGGTGAAATAGGTGAAGGGGATTAAAGAGTATACTTATCTTGATGAGCACTGAGTAACATATAGAACTACTGAATCACTACATTATACACCTGAAAGTAATATAACACTATTAACTATACTAGAATTAAAATAACAATTTTTAATGTGGTGGTTTAAAAAATAAATGGAAAGCTATGTATAAAAAAGAGAACCATAAGCAAAGTAAAATAATAGCCAGCAGGTTGCTGGAGAAGATATTTGTAATGCACAGAAGTAACAAAGGATTATTTTCTCAAAAGATATGAAAGATTTCTACAACTCAAATAGGAAAAGATGAACACCCTAATAGGAATTTGTGAAAAGATATTAAAAGACAATTCACAGACGTAGAAATTAGCTTCAAAGAATGAAACGAATTTGAAACTAATAACCAATGCACATCTGAAAAGATGTTCAAGCTCACTAGTAACTAAGGAAATGCAAATTAGAATAACGGGATAAAATTTCAGCCCCATGAGATTGGTAAAAATGAAAAAGTTTGACAATACCAAGTACTGAGAGGGATATGTAGCTGCAAAAACTGTCATATTCCGTTGGTGGAAGAATAAATTGGTGCAGTATCTTTGGGAAAAACAACTTGCTAAGTAAGATCTAGGAAAACCGAGTATGTACAAATCTGAAAAATCAGCAATTCCTCTTTA